GGGAGAGGCCTGCTGGTTGCGGATTGCCCGGACACTGTAGAGGGCTGCCCAGGTGGAGGCACAGTGCATGATGGCTGCCAGACACACAGAGCGCTGCTCTCGCCAGGACACAGAGAGGACAACTCTGAAAGATGAAGACACGTAGCCAGCCCGGTACCCTGTACAGCCCTTTCCACTCCAGATTGCACTGATCTAAAAGCACACCCAGCGCAGCACCGCCTCCTTCCTCTCTCAACAGCATCTACAGAAGCAACACAGTCTGCACTGGGACCACAGCCCACAGACGCCCCTCATACACAGGCCTGTGACTGAGAGTGAGAGAGAGAGAAGAACTGAGTGGATCAGTGGCAGGAGAAAGAACGAGACTGGGAAATGAGAGACACTGTTTAACTATTTCACTGTTAGAGAGTGAAGGAGTGACTGTTATAAAGTGAGAGAGACCAGAATGGAGCGTTTCACTGTCAGAGAGTAAAGAAGTGTCTCTGTTATACTGTAAAGTGAGAGACCAGAATGGAGTGTGGAGCGGCAGATATGTTCAGTTTCAGGGAAAGTGAGATATGGCAACAGAATATTTTAGTGTTAAAGAGATTGCACAATGCAGTTCCTCAGTATTATTGGTGACATTGAGGCATTTTTGTATTACAGACAGGAAAAGGTTAGAATGGAGAATTGTATAACAGAGAGAGCCCCAAGGCAGAGGCAAGGCACTACTGAAGAGCTCCCTCTGTTACTGGGGAGGGAGAAGTCACCAGGCAAGGTACAAACTGCTATACACTCCAAAGGCACTAACTCAGCAGCCTGGGCCTGGGTCACAGACACATACTGCTGCCGCCTCCTGTGGCCCATTCCTGTACCCAGCCTAGTGACACAGCCGATCAATACACACTCCCAGTGACACACTGAGCAAAAACAAGGCAAATGCAAGATCACTCAGTACAAGCACTCCACTGCCCATCTATTTCACAGCAGCGATGCCAGGTGACACACTGGAAACCTACAGCTGCCACTATTGTCCTGTAACACTGGCCAGCTCTCGTCCTGGGCAGACTGTGTTCAGCAGAGCGTACAGGTCCCTCCTAAATCCTCCCACTACAATTCCTGGGGAGAACAGTCAGGTCTCCGTGGACTGCAGAGAAGCAGGGCCTGGTTTTCACTCAAAACGACTGCTGAATGTTAGCTCTTGTTTTAGGCAAGTGCCTTGAAGAAGACATTTTTGTTGGCTAAACTACTGTGCCCTCTTAGCTGCCTCACTCAAGCTGCCTCAGGTTGCCAGTGTGGACCCTGCTGTGATTTTGAGATGACCTAAAAACCCGCTGGGCTCAGGATCCCCATGACCAGGCTGGCCATTGCTGCTGCCTATGTAATGAACCATGCCCTTTGACCCCAAGAGACAGGGCAGCCCTGTGGGCGTAGACTGAGCCTTCATGGTGACTGACTGGGTATAGCCTGGCCATGGCACCAGTTTGGCAGAGGTTTCAGGAATTGGAAAGTGGTGTTTGGGTTCTGTGAGGAACAGCTGTGGGTTTCACGGTGCCCTGGTCAGTGCACCTCTTGCTTGCACAGTAAAACAGAGTGGGACGCACACGCTCGGACTGAGCCACATGGGTCAGCACCACTTGGCACTCTCAATACATCAACGGCACAGGGAAGAAAGTTCTTGTAAAAAAAATTTTTTTCAAAAAAAATAAATACAGAAACCATCACATTGAAAAAAAAAAAACAACGACAACAGATTTGGCACCATGGTTTTGAGTTAATTGATGATCTTTGTTTTACAAGTGAGAAACTGAAGGTTTCTCTATCCTCATCTGTATGGTTTAAGACAAATATACACACATACATAGTTATGTTTATATATAGGTATTTATAGTATAATCTATTATATTATCTAGTAATACCCCTATTATAGATATGTAGAAGAGTCCATGCTTTACGACTCCGAAAGAGGCCCCAGCAGGATTGGAGCTCCTCAGACACTCCTCATTTTCACCTTCGATTTCTGGCATTTCTGATTTCTTTTCTCCAGCAGGAGGCAGTGGGCAGCGTGCAGTGCAAGGGGCAAAGGGGATATTTACCCATTCCTGGTTGGACACGGAGAGAGACCGAAAGGGAACTGCACAGAACCACTCAGCGTAACGCTGTTTTAACACAGTCCAGCCCCAAGCCTCCAGACAACGGAGTTCTGTTCAGAGCTACTGTACCTTGGCTGCTTGTTTTAAACCTATTTCTGCCCTCTCTATCTGTGTTTACAGCCGAGTATTAGTTTTGCCAAAGCTATTTCTGTCACCCAAATACTGAGACAAACTCAATCTCTAATTGTTTTCCTGGCATTGGTCTTCATGAAGAAAACCAGTCCGCCCTCCTCTCACTGAGTGACAAAGACAAATCACTAAGACAAACCACTCAGAGTAATCTTCATAGAATGAAAGTCCTGTCTGCAGACAGCTTGACTGATAGTTTGAACTTGCACAAAGCGTGTTTTTCAAACTGCATTTTAAGTTATGAACAACAACGAACAAGTCTGCCACAGTTTTCAGTGCGGAGTGGGGAACAGGCTCTTCAGAGTCCAACTTGATACAGATAGATCTGTTTTATCAACATATGAGTGGTTTGCCGGTGGGTAGCTTGAGCAGTTACAAATGACAAGATTTGGCTGTCCGAGATGCACTCCAGCACAGGCTCAAGCCCTGAGCTTCAACTCAAGGGGCTCTGTTAACAAACTCAAGCCTCAGCACTGCCCCCTGCTCCACTGGAAGTATTCCTGAAACACCACATCCAGCTTCCTTAAGATCGCTTGGACATGGGAGTTCACAAGGCCTCAACCCTGAGTCGCAACTCAGCTGTGGGAATGGAGATGCAATCCATTTCCTGACAGCGTCAAAGACAGTGGACAACGACTGTAGGCATTGTGTTTCTTGTGGAACCTTTTAAACATCTTTTTTCAAAGCCAAAGGAGAAATGACCCTGTCTGTCACTTGTCCCTTAACTTCTGGAACTCTCCTTTCAGTTCTTCCCCTCTACCCTCTCTCTGTGCTGAGCTCAGCACTGACAGGTGCGATTCCAGCACGTGATACAGAACCTCGCATCTCTGGTTTCCAAGCTTATTGAGCGTGACAGACATCATTTCACAAAAACTCCAACACACGGACATGCTCGCTTCCAGGACTCCAAGATTCTAAAAGCTTGCAGACGACAGGTTGGTGGACGATCCTGAGGCTACTGAGATCGAGAGCTATGGCCTCCTTTTTAAAAAGAGTCTTGGACAGTCTGAGGAATGCACAAGTGTTGTCCTTTACACAATACATGGGAGTGTAAACTTCTTTTAAGAAAGTTTGTGAAATGGTCTTTGAGTTTTTCTCTGGTCTGTGAAGCAGCTTGTTTTTTTGTGTAGTGTTTTCACAGCAGGCAGTGGCAGAGCTGGGCAGAGTCTGTAGCAGCCTGTTAACACCAAGAGAGCAGCAACTGAGAGACTGGGAGAGAAGGAGAGAGAGAAACTGGGAGGGACTGGGAGAGAAAGAGTGAGAGAGACTGCGAGAGGGAGAAGAGGAAAGCAAGGAAGGAAAGGGAGACAGAGACTGGCTGGTGGAGGCTGCGCTGAGCTCATTTCAAACTGCTCTAAACTACAACACAGGAGAGATTTTCACTGGAAGCACCAAGAGCTGAATTTCTGAAGACTGAAGACAAAGTCTTAAGCCTTTTGTCTGAGTGGGTGAAAGTGGGTGGGGGACATGTTTGCAACATGTGTTGAGGTCACTGGTTACCAGTGCGTGCTGAAGACAGTTCATTGAGAACAGAAACAGTCATGCAAAAACATACACTTCCCAGTCTCTGGGCAAGTTCAGCCTCTGAGGACACACAAAGGATGCAGGGAAACCAGAAATACCCAATAGGCTCTGAATGCACAGTGATCTAACCTTCCCTAGGTTTCACAAACTATAGCTGCAGGGCCTTTATACAGAAGCCAGTACCAGACCCTAGCGATTTCAAACAGCACTGAAGCAAAAAAGTGTTCGATGGAATTAATGTGACGTTTCTAATGCTGTCTTTTCTGCTCCATCAGTGCAGCAGGTGAAATCTGGAACGGCTAAAACAGCTGTGCAGCAGGAGCCTGATCTCCCATCACTGTGGACGTGTCATGGCAGGTATGGCCATGCGGGGCACAGTTTGTAGAAGAGGAAGCTCTTGGGAGGGAAGGTGGCGGACACAAACAGATGCGCCTATGAAGGGTTAGGGTGCTCTGCTATCCGATCTAGAATACAATGTGTTTCAGTGGCCCCGGCAAACCGGTTTCAACGTGTGGCTGGGTAGCGTGCTCCACGCCGACGATGGCAGTGGAAAGAGAGGAGTCTGACGCAAGCCAGGAGACTGAAGGTGAGGTATTACTTCCCACAAATCCTTAAGAAGCAGCACCAAGGACACTCCTGATATCCTGTGTGCCTGTCCCCTACAATCCCCCCAACACACGCTCCGAACACACAGCAGGCCCTTGGGCTCCCAGAGCCGAGGCTGAGCTCCACAGCCACGAGACTCTGGACTGCTCTGCCAGAGCTGGGTGTGTAGGGGTTTTCGATGTGAAGAAGAGTCTCTCTGAGGGAAACTCTTTTCAGCACAGCACTGACTACTTGGAAAGGGGCAGGACACAGGAAGAGAGGGAAATATCAAGGGATTCGAGAGAGAGATGATAGGACTCTCCCTGGTTACAGACCCCTGGGAGATGTGTCTGTGTGTGTGATAAAGAACGAAGCAGGGAGGGAGAGACAGACAGAGGAAAGGCCAACAGTGCTTGGATTGCAAGATGGTGAAGTATAAAAAAAGTGCCTAGGAGCTTCCTGTAGCCGCTGAGCACCATGCCTGTAAGTCTGAGACAAAGAAAGGAGGCACAAGAGAGAGAGGAGCAGTGGGGAAGAAGTGGAGTGAGGGAAAATGTACAACACTGAAGCAGGAGACCTGACTCTGTGAAAGACAGTGAGAAGGGAGAGAGGTGGCGTCTCCTTTGTTACCTCTCTCCCTCTGTAGGGCCTCAGTTTTCCAGGGCATCAGCACAGCCCCTGTGGGTGTACAGCTCCTGCTCAGCCAAGCCAGCATCTTCGGCGTTTTGCTCGTCCGCCTCACTGTCTGTGCTGCCCTCGCTGTCCTTCCCATCAGCCCCCAGGCCACAGGGGTAGCCAGAGGGGTAAAGGGCGCCTGGTGGGAGGGGGCTGGGCAGCAGGTCGTCGTCCGAGCTGAGAGAGTCGCCCTCCCCTGCTGACACTTGGCCCACCATGTGGAGCCCATCGAATGACCGCATTGGGTCCTTGAAACGCTGGGACGGTCCTTTCAACTGTCTGATCTGGAAGGAGGCAGGAAGGGAGTGGAAAGGAAAACAAAGATGGAAGGGAGTTAAGATAGGAACACTGGCATCCTCAGTACATTAACATTTCTCATTGGCAGCAGTTTCTCATGTGTATGTGGCTATATATGTGTATACTGTATGTATATATGTGTGCAGTGATTTCAATATTGTTAATTCCTCCTCTCTAAACTCATTAACAGTAACATATTCCTAATTGATCCAATTCATATCATGAATCTGAGAGGGCCAGGGCTTGATCCTGGCAGGGGCAGCACCTGAGGCTATTGGCGTTCCAGGGAATCAGGGCTGCATGGCCTGGATTATACAGATTTTTCCATTTTCACAAGTTGTTACACCAGGAGGACAGCTGGTCCAGTGGTTAAGATACAGGGCTGTCATACCAGGAGGACAGCTGGT